GCGCGAAACTGCTGAGTCACGGCCGCCCGCCGGGGAGCGGGCGAGCAATTACAGACCAAAACTGGGAAGGCATCCCAAACAAATTGGTTATAATTAACAAGTGGAAGAATAACACCAGCAATACCATTAGCAGGCCCAAAAGCCATTTGCAATATAATATCTATAATTAGACAGCGAGCAACAAGAGCCCGGGCGGCGCTGCTGGCCCCGCAGGGAGGGAGGGAGGGCAGGGCAGGTGGGCGCTGCCGAGCCGGACGCCTGGGCCCCCGCCCCGGCCGCTCACGGGTTTTGGGGGGGTCCCTTCTCCTGTCTCCTCCAGGCTGCAGCCGGCATTAATGGTATGGAAGCGCCGGGAGCCCTGGGGAAGCTCAGCTCGGGGAGCCACTGCAATAAGCAGAGCAGAGGGGCTGCCCAGGCTCGGGATGTGGGGCCCTCCACATTACCCAGCCGTTCTGGTGGCGTTGCAGCCACAAGGCCKGGCTGCCACGTGCCGGGAGCACGGGATAGCGACTTGCACCGGCCCCGGGTGACGAGGCCTGCTCGTGGGGCTCCCAGGACCCTCACTTCTCCCACAGAGTCTTTTTCTAGTCTTGGTGAGAAAAATCAGAAAAAGAGCAATAAGTTRTGGGAAGAGATCGTGGTTTATAGCCGGGACGTGCGAAGCGTTTGAATAGCTCTGAAATCAATGTGAAGCCGAACGCTTCCTCCCACCTGCAGCACTTGCTTTTCCTCCCCGGCAGGTGAGTTTTAATAACCCAGGCTAAAGCCGGGGCTCCTGGGCGCTGCGGGATCCCCGCGGCCGAGCGCGCACAACACGCAGCTCCACGTGCGGCGCTGAGCGCGCACGGGGGCCAGAGCACCGCGGTGCGGGGACGTTTGGGAGCCCCTGAGCCCTCCGGTAGCTGCACATGCAGCACCCCGGGTCCGCAGCGGGGGCAGCGCCGTAGGGCGGCCTTGCAGGGCGAGCTCGCGGGACTTGCGCACAGGCCTGTGCAGCCACGGCGTGCACAGAGCCAGCGGCACAGCGGGGGAAAAAAGGGAAAAAAAAAAGCGAGGAAAGGCGAAAAGGAGGGAAATTCCCCCACGATGGGAGGTGGAGAAGGGAAAGAGGGAGCCTGAATCAAACAAATCCCCACGCAGGAGCGGCCGTGCCGAGGGCGGCCACCGGGAGGGGGCGGCCGGGGGAGGCGCGCAGCTCCCGCCGCTCCGGCTCCTGGCGCGGGGACTCCGGGCCGCGTTTTGCGGGCGGCCGGGCCCACGTGGGGCGCGGCGGCCCCCGGCGCGGCGGCCAATGGGAAGGCGGCGCCGCGGCAACGAGTGACCCTGACACTGCGTGTCCCATAAACAGCTGAAACGCACCCAATTAGAGCGGAGCCGGGGCCGTTTGAACCTCGCCACGCAACTGCGAGGCGGGGGGGCCCGTGAGCCCCGCTCCTTTCCCATCCCCTGCCCCCTCCCGATTGCGCGGAGCGGGACCCGCAGCCCTCGGGGGTTCGCGCCCCCGCGTGACGCCCGCGGGCAGGGCCGGGTTCCCCCTCGGCTCGGCTCGGCTCGGCCCGGCCCACGGGGAGCGCCCCGGGCCGCGGCACYCCCGACGCCCTCCTCGCTGCGGGGAGGCGCCTTCTCCGGTGGGCCCAGGGGAGACAAAATTACCTGCTTCGTGCGACTCAGAGAGAGGGACTTTTTCTTTTTTTCTTTTTCTTTTTTTTTTTTTACCTTTTATTATTTAAATTGATACGTTTCATTACTAGGGAGAAAAATAAAATATTCCTTTGATACACAAAATCAAATTGATATTTAGCCTCTGCTTACTTTTTTATGCATGGCTCCTTTTTACCACATGGTAGTGACAGATTGTTTGAGCTGGAAGGAAAAGCCATTCAGAGCTAATTAAGCAGCCATTCCAAGCAGTATTTGCAAGCGGGAGGCTGAAAAGCAGAGGCATTTGTCAGCGCTCCCGCCCCGCGTGGCTTTGATTGACAGCCAGCCCTGTGGAGTGGCAGCCGGCCGCGGCTCCGCCAATGGTGCTTGAGGAGCCCGCCGCGTCCTCCTCCTATTGGCTGGACGGCAGGTTTGATCGACGGGCGACGGGGCAGGGCGGGCGGCGGGCCCCACGTGGGGCGGGGAGGCTCCGTGTGACGTGCGGGAGAGGAGCCATTTTGTGCCTGAGAGCTGCTGTTTCCCTCCCCCCTCCCCCCTCCCCGAATCGAACCGGGCCGGGCCGAACCCAAGCGAACCGAGCCGAACCGGCTCCCATCCGCCCCGGCACCGCCTGCCCCGTGGGACAGAGCCGCGCTGGGGGGTGCGGGGCCCGCGCGGCCCGGGCACTCTCCGCAGACCGGGTCGGGGGGCACATGGAGCATCGTGGTGGCGGGGGCTCCGCTACAGGGCCGGGAGGACGGGGGGGCTCTCGTGGTTCGGCCCCGAAGGCGGCGGCCCCAGTGTGGGAGCCGCGACGAGCCCGGGGCTCCGCAGGCCCCGTCGCGCCCCCCCCCCCCCCCCGCGCTCAGGCCTTTGTGGGCCATGCAAAGCCGGGGAGATTCAAATCATTTCGGGTGAATGTGTAACTTTAATGAAATTACCCGTGTTCTTCATTAAAGCTGCTCAGACTTGAAAGGAGACGCGGGGAGGAATATTAGGGGAAACAGGTAGTAATAGCAGGGAGGGCTGTTCCCATTTGTATAAGCACCAGGCAGAGTTTCAGCCTCTTCACAGAGCCTGGCACATCAAAGGCGATGTTTGCTTTGCTTGTAGTTTAGATGGGAAAGGGGAGGACTGGGAGAGGGGCAGGAGGAAGGGAAGCGGCCCCGCCGCCCTSCCGCCGCCTTCCTAGTCCTTCGCCGCGAAGGACGCTCCTTTCCCCCTCGCTCACTTTCGTAGCGACCGTTTTTATCGGTATTAAATCTCGCGAAGTGAAAACATTAAAGTGACAAAGCGATTCTGTTTGTTTTATAGTATCTAATTGGGCTGCTTCGCGCATCTAATGAGATTACGGGGAAAGGCACCGTCCCCGGGCTGCGGAGGGGGCCGCCAAATTATTACTTGGAGTAGCGGAGGGGCCCTTGGCTCCCACCCTTCCCTCCGMTGAGTGTTAGTGCGTGGGGGCTAGGAGGGTACAAAACAGGCCGCGCGGGGCTGCTGGGGAGGGCGGGCCGGGCCCGGGGCTGGGCAGGGTGGCCGGGATCGGGCCGGGAGGCCGCGATCGGGCCCGGCGGCCGGGCCGGGCCGCGCGGCGCTGCCCACGCGGGAGCGCGGCCGGGGCAGCCCCGCGGCCGCGGCGCTCGCTACATAGTTTCAGACACAAGATGGCATTGTGACGTCGCCGCCGGCGGCGCCCACTCGCCGGCCGCGCTCGCCCGCCCCACGTGGGCCCCGCGCGCTCCTATTGGCCGGCGGCGCGGAGCCCGCCCGGG